GCTGTATGTACACAGATTATTTGTAACTTTGGTCTGTACTAGATATGAGTTCCTATATACAGTAAATGTGTGCTTGAGGAAAAATAATTTCTTTTCGCAATATTAGACAGAGAAAGACCTTCAAGGAACTAAACCCTACTTTAAGATGCTTTACTTGTTCCCACTGAAACAAACTGGCCTCAAAGTTTGCATTAAATTTCCCATAGATCTCAATTTTTTCATAAATAGTTCTGGCATAAATAACTTCCAGTGTGAAATTAGTAAATTTTTTATTTCACTGAAAGGCTCTTCTTCCTTAGCGATTTTTCACTTTAATTAGCTGGATCAGTGAGGACAGATAATATTTTTAAATGACTGGTAAGAAAATTCTTTTAATCAGTGGTATAGAGCAAGGTGAGATAAAAGGATTGAAGCTAAACAGTGAGTAAGATATTTAGGCACTTACAAGGAAGTCTAGAAGACATTATAGCCTGAATTAAAGCAACATAAAACTCTACATTCACCTCTTGCCTCACCACAGTGATTTCTAATAACAGAATCTGATCTGATCAACACCCACAGAAAACTGTACAGGCAGATGATCACCAGCCATTGCCCATCAACTGGACTGCATTACATGAACATGTGTTTATTCCCAGCCCTTGAGTGGTGCCAATAAGCCTCAATTTAAAGCAGATACAAGTGGCTAGGATAACGTATGCAAATATATTGGACAGCAGGTTTTAAAGCGGTAATTGGTTCAATTTCTGATCATCTGACTGCACAGTTGTAAACAATCTTTTTAAAGTGGTCATGTCACTGCAGCTGCAATCTGCCCCCTACATAATAGCTCCCTATTACAGAGCACTCACACGTAAAATGAATGATCAGTATCTGCTTCTCTCATTCTCCCAAGGGATGCTAACCATGTCAAATAAAAATGCTTTGCTTAAAGGGATAAAAATGTGAATCAGAAAAAAGATTTTGCAAGTCTTAGAAAGCACAGAACTCCTAAGGAGAGTATTGTTCCTTATGATATGGAAATTAGGAGCTTGTTCAGAAATATATTTGTATTTTTGGAAAGAAATCAAAATTACACAATCCTGCATAACAGGAGTGATGTAGAATTTCACTGGTTATTAATAGTGAAAAAACTTGATTTAATAGCCATGAACCTTTAAAAATCAGCAGATTTTAAAGCTCGAAAAGCTTCTAGGCTCTCCTCCCTGCTCCCCAGACTCCCCGTTTAGGTTGTTGACCCTGCATGTCATTCTGAGGCACTGAGATCCAACACCAGCCTTAGGTTCCTCACACAGACCTAGGTCCCTGGCAGTTTAGGATCAGAAGTACTTGGCTGTCAGATATCTATGGATTTTATCAAACCTGTGTTGGCCACAAAGGTGAATCTGAAAAACATGTCCTCCTCCTAGGCATCCCTAACGTTTCTATTTTCCACATAGGTAATACTGGATAATTCCAATATCCTAACATCAGTTCCAAATGTGATTCCTAATGTAAAACCTTGACTTGGGGAACACATTCTGGTTGTCACTTTTACTAGGTTGACAGAAGAATAATGGAGCAGGCAGTTGTGTTTCAAGACTCTGAGATTAATCCTACCTACTTAATCATGGGTCTTTTGATTTTTCATATTTCAATTATATGTCAATTTTCATACTAAGTAAACATCAACCCCAAATGAAGCACAGTATCTAGCTAGTAATTGGACATGACACCCCACAAAGACTTAATTTTGCATAAAACCTACCAAAGAACTAGCAGTCAGTTACAGAATAAATCTTAACAACCAGTTAGCAATGTCCTGCTGGCAGCACCCACACAGACCTAAAGCCATTTGCAAAATGGAAGCTGCAGACAGCAAAGGAAGCAGCTTGGCTTTGGAAATGTGTCAGCTGCCAAGAGCTGCAGACACTGGGATTCAGTCATGCACTGAAACCCCTGCTGGAAGGAGCCCAATATACCAGCTGAGATTGAGCTGCAGCTTTGAAATGTGCTAACTGGTGGGACAGACAGCAGTTTCTAACTCTGGCTTGGAGTCAAAATCTTCACTACTAAAAATATGGATACCTGTTATTGAGTAAGGTTGAAGGTAAAAAAGAAGTAATCACATTTAAATCAAAAGTAGCTGTTAATGACAATTTCATTCAGTTAATAAATGTTAATTTTTTTTTCTCAGTACTCATTTCTCAGTTCTACATTTATCTACTTTTATTATGTTTTCTAGGCATTTATCTTAAAATTCAGTCTCATTAAAACTTCTGAAGAAGGTATAAAAACATTATTCCATTTCACTGACATGATCAGTGTAATTTCTGAGGGCAATATTTCATGTAATCTTCAGAAAATTCATAAGCAATGTGAAAACTCATTTAAATAGTTTATTACAGCCTCAATTTGGTATAAATAAAACTGTTCAATTCTACTGTTTTATCCTTGTCATGCAATCCCAATATTCATTGCTGCAATAAATTAAGTCTTATAAACAACAAAACATCATAAAACAAACTCAAGAGATGCTGCAAATAGGGAACAAAAAGGAAATTATCTAGTGCAATCTTTCTGAGTGAAAAACCCTTGAAACATGTTGCAACCAGTCAGTTAATAATTGCTTTGTAAATCTGAAATGAAGCAGAGGGGATAAAACTAATAAACAAGTAATAAAGTACAATTTTTACTTGTTTGGAGTGATTATGATTCCCTGGAGGGAAGAAGGGCACAAAAAGGCTGATTAATGTTCAAGATCACCTCTGCCAAGCTCAAGAATGAGCATCACAATGAAGAGGAAGTCAGGAAGAAATGACAGGAGGATTATATGGATGAACAAGGAGCTCCTGGACAAACTCAGAAAGGAAGCCAACAGAGCGTAGATGCAAGAACAGGTAGCCTAGAAGGAATACAGAAATTGTCCAAGCAGCCAGCTACTGTGTTAGGAAACCTGACAGAAGTCCTGACAGAATTAAAATTGGCCAGGACAACAGGAAAAGTACATCAGTGATAAAGGGAAGACTAGGGAAAATGTGGGCCCTCTCAGAAGCCAAATGGGAAACCTGACTACCCAGGACATGGAAAAGGCTGAGGTCATCAACAACTCCTTTGCCTTGGTCTTCACGGACAAGTGCTCCAGACACACTGCCCAGGCTCCAGAAGACAAAGGTGGGGACTGGGGGAATGAAGAATTGCCCAGTATAAGAGAGGATCAAGCTCAGGAATATCTAAGGAGCATGAAGGTGCACAAGCCCACAGGACCTGACGAGATTCATCTGCTCGTTCTGATGGAACGGGCTGAGGAGGCGGCTACGCCACTACCCATCGGATGTGAGAAGTCATGGCAGTCCACTGAAGTTCCCACTGACTGGGAAAGGGAAAAGTAACCCCCACTTCAAAAAGAGAAATAAGGAAGACACAGGAAACTACAACTCTTTCAGCCTCACCTCAGGTCAGAAAGATCATGGAAACAAATCCTCCTGGAAGCTTTGCAAAGACACATGTAAAATGAGGAGTTGAATGGTGACAGCTAACTCAGCTTCACTAAGAGCAAATCATGCCTGACAAATTTGGTGGCCTTCTATGACAGGGTCTATTACTGCCACTGTCAACCATGTTCAAAATGTTGTAACAAAGAACCTGTTTTCGTATTGCCTCCAGTGTAGCTATAATGCTTATGCTGGAAAACACATATAATCCTTACAAATAAATAATGTGTCACACAAAATATATGCTTGCACAGTTGCTGAATATTATGACAAATTTTAATACTACTCTGAAAACACACTGGTCTCTCTCCCTTATTCACTCAGGCTGAAGAGAACACATGATGGATGTTAAAAGTCCAGGAGCCATCTTCATTGCATCATGCTAGAATATTCAGATGTTTATTTTTAATAATCTTAAGCTACTTAATGTTCTTTAAAAAAATTATTTTCTCTTGAAAATTTAACATTTAAATAGTCTACTTCAATATTTTACTTTGTATTCGTAACATATTCCTCTTTTCCCAGATCAAGAAGCCCACACCAAAAAAGGTGTTGAAATTCTGCCATGAAAGTATTCATATGCTTCACCTGAACATCTCTGAACATCTCTTAGCTTGGCTTCCTATTACTCATTAAAAAAAGGCACTCTTTGAATACCTTCATTATTATCAAGAGACTTGAACATACACTTTATTCTTTCAATTAAAAATAGAAACAAACTCTCATCATATTATTTTTAAGGAATATAAGTTCTGAACATTTTTAGAGCACTAAGAACTCTCAGGACAGACCTTAGAAAACAATGCATGCAATTCTAGTACTACTTCACTTAATATTTAGTATGCATATGCTCCAATTCTAAGATAAATTTAAGTATGAAAATAGCATTGAATGCACTTACAAATGTGGAAAAAATAATTTTCAGAGAACTTGAGAAAAATCAATAGACAAGAACGTAAATATTTCAGAAAGTGATATATTTAGTATAAATGAAGATGAAAAAGTTCACAGCTTTAGAGTACACTTCTGCACCCTCCTAGCTGATGGAAGATTGCCCAGCTGTGGTCTGAGTTATAATGGGAACAGAAATGTCTTAGGAATGTTTTGCTCATGCTGTTTGCCACACAAGAAATTAATTAACTTCATTAGCAAGATATTTAGGTAAATTGTTACATGCATTAAAATGTTTTTACAGACTTAAATATTGAAAAAATCTTGAAAGTATACTGTCATACAAATGACTAATGTCTGCAATCAGAGAACAAAAGTAATCTACCAATTCCTCCAGAAAAGAAGAAAGGAAAGCAAAAAACATTGACAAATGGAAATAATAAAATACCTAGAAAATATATCAGGACATCAACTGTGACACTTAATGGCCTGTTTGGCATCTCCCTGGGACAAAAAAATGAAACACAAAAGTTCAACAGAACAGGACGAAGGGGTTTTTTTCCTTAGTCTAAAAAAGGAACAAACTCAATGCAACAAAACCATAACCTGTCAAGAAGAATGTTACAAGTGACTTACAGGAACCAGGAATTTTTTTATTTCTTCCAAGGCATGACTCATACGAGAATACGCCTCCCCAGGTGGAGCAAACACTTCAATTAATACATGGAGCTCATCACTCAAGTGTGCGTATTTGGCTTCTCCACTTTTCCTTAGTTCTTCCTCCTATGAAGAAAGGGTGGATTTGGTTTTTAAAACTGGAAATCCACTAATTTTGCAGTGATTTAGCATTCACAGACAACATGACAGAAGGACATAGTATAAGCAAACTTTTAAATCATTTGAGAAATAAAAGTCTAGTTCAAGCCACTTAAAGATTTAAAAATCAATTTTGAGTGTTTGAATGATAGAACCAGCATAATTATCATCTAAATCAGATTTTAATCAGCACAGTGAAAAAATGCTAAATACTCCAGAAGGAAGTACTGACATACTAAATCCATAATGGAAAAGCTGCATTCATCAGTCTGAATCTTAGCTCTTAACAAAAAAACCCATAAAATAAAGATGCATTTAACCATTTTGGAACACTATTGTTTAGTAAACTCTTTAGGTTCTTCAACAAACATCTGCAGCCTGTATATTTTAGTACCACCAAAGAAAAATATGCCCTAGGACTTTTATATGAGAAACAGAATCACAGCATAATTTGGGTGTGAAGGGACCTAAAGACTTTGTAGTTCCAGTGCTCCTGCCATGAACAGAAACTTCCACTAAATCAGGTTGCTCAGGGCCCCATCCAGCCTGGCCTTAAACAATCCCAGGGACGGGGCATCCACAACTTCTCTGGTCAAACTGCTCCAGTGTCTCACCATACCCATAGTGAAGAACCCTTTCCTAATGTTTAACCTAAAACCTACTCCCATTCAGTTTAAAGCCACTATCCCTTGTCCCCTCACTATGCACCTCTTCACAAAGTCCCTCTACAGCTTTCTTGCCCTCTTTCTGTACTTGAAAGGTGTCATAAATTTACCCTGAGCCTTCTCTTGTCCAGGCTGAGCAACCTAAATTCTCTTCATAGCAGACTGGCTCCAGCACTGATCATCTTCATGGCCCTCCTCTGGACTTGCTCTGACAGATCCATGTGCTTCTTATGCCGAGGGCCCCTGAGCTGCTCTCAGCACCTACTGAGTCTGAGTTTCAGCCTCAGTCCCAATTCAGGGTACCTATGCAATGTGGTGTACAGCTCAGATGGTGAACCACCACACCTAGATATAGCTCAACCATCTTTGGGTCCTAGTTTTCTAGCTATAAAATAAGCATAATAATCCTACTTTATGTTAATGTTCTCAAATGTCAATCCACTTTCTTACACAAAGTTTTGAGATAGCAAATGTAAATTGCAAAATACATTTGTAGTAGTTACTGCTCCATAAAAATCAAAGACATAGAATAATGATCATGTTAATGGTACTGGCTATGATACCATAATGAAAAATGTAGTACATTACTACACAAGATAGCCATAAGTAATGCTAAAGAAATGATGAGTTGAACTCTCAGTTTTCAAAAATATTTTGAGAAATGTAATTTAGAAGAAAATATGTATCTACAGAAAACATTATCACAGAAAAAAGAAGTAAACTAATTTTCTTGAAAATGGTGAAGAGGTTACAGCTTTTTAATATATACTAAATAATAGTTTATGAACATTTAGTTAAGATATAAAAACTGTAACAACAGATTACAATTCTTACCAATTTAGCTTATTTAATTCTGCATTAAGTTTACTCATTTCAGCATTGACTAATTTACACCACTGCTTGCTACAAAAAACATTTGAAGAATGCTATACTCCTAAGAGTAAGTATTCAGTTCTTTTTATCTATGTTAGAAGATCCAGCCACAAGGACTTTTTTATTTCCCAGAGAATACAGAGGCTACATCCTGCAGCTTCATTGCCCAAGATCTGTCTCCATGCTAATTCAACATTTTGCAGATTATGATAAAACCATAACTCAATAAATATGAACTATTATTTTATTTTTAAATTTGAAAACTGAAATATTAGTTAGCAGCTGAAACTAGAAAAATTAAGATAAGACATAATTGTCTCAGTATTTTTATTTTTACAGTTAAATTATCTTTGTCATTTTAGCTTATCACTGAAATCTCATTGAAATTTCCATAAGAACCATAGCATAATATAAAAGTTCATCATAAGATGTTTCCAGTTTTCTGAAAAAAAATTTCACACATTTGATTACTTCTTCTGGAAAAATCTGGTATGGACTTTTCAGTAGAATTAAGCTTTAATTGTTATAAAGATACATCCTAGTGATTGCTGGAAGCTTCTTCCCTGTTGCTTTTTAAAGATTCTGAGGGGGAAAAAACAACAAAAAACAATACATGCCAGAAAGCCCCAAAAATTATCTTTCAGGAAAAGACTACCAATAAACTTAGAATTTAGAAACTGGAACTTTTATTTTCAGATGTAGAAAAAAAGCAGAAAAGTGGGAACTCAAAATGTCTCTCAGACATTTTTAGAGGTTCCAGGCCTTGGTCAGAAGCATTTTAGACCCTGGCAGGCAGCTGGAAACAGCTGTGATTTTGAGTTTGAGCCATGGAATGAATTACCAACTTTGGAGGTGGAACGAGCAGTCACAAAAGGTTAGATAATATAGTAAAAGTAGTTACAAAGTAGAGGGGAAATTTTTTTAGTATTGTACAGGGGGGTTTTAACACATGTACAGGGGGGTTTTTACTGTGTACATGGGGGTCAGAAGTTCTAAGATGGAGGAAAGTGGGCTGGTCCTGTTCTTCCTCCTTCTTTTTCCTTACCTCCATGTTCTTGGTGATGTTGGCACTCACAGATTGGTTTAGAGTAGAAAAGCACTTTGTAATATAGGTAGTAGTTATTGAGGAATAATTGTAAACATGTTATACGTAATATATCATAGAAAAGATAGCAGCAGCCCTGAGCGGAGGGAGAGATGAAGACAGCAGATAGAGAGGATGTCAGGGTGTGTGTGTGCCTCTACCCAGGCCGCTGACCAAACAGCCACAGCCCAAGAACATAATCTGTTAGATAACTAGCAATAAACTGCCTTGAGATTGAACAGCTAAAGCCTGCGGAGTTTTTCTTTGGAAGCATGGGTTGGAGGAGGAATTTCACCACCATATGAGACCCCAGAGCAAGGCCAGGGTTCTCACACAGAAGAATAATATTTGAATCATTATTTTGATGCGGATTCTCTACAGCTAAGACATCAGCAACATGATTTTATAGTGTATACCTGGAATGTTATCACTGCCTCTTCAGTGGTAACAATGGTAATTATGGTAATGGTTTCTATTCTAGCTCCTGAACAAACTCAGGTTTTCTTACAACACATCATTTGATAACCTGTCTCTTCAGTTCAGCACATGCTTTCTGTATAGCTGTTGGAAACCATACGCTGAGGTTGTGAGATACTACACATTTCCTGGTGAGGATAACTAATGAGGTTTCTTCTTTTGGAACATATGGGGTTAAAGACTGAATTTTCACACAATATCTCTTCCCATCATAGGGTAAAATGTCATAATAATGCTCCTTTTATTGCAAGTGTATGTCCAGAGACAATGAAACTTAAGGAAAACTATGGATGAGTAGGAACTCACAGGCTGTGTGAGCACTGCACCAAGCTCTCCTTCCCAAAGCCAGTGAGTATGACTGAGTACCTGGGGACTGAATGCAGCCTTATATTTAATCCTGTGTCCGGTATCAGGCATCTAACAAGCAAACAACAGGCATGGCTCACACTGCTGGGGAGACACCCGCAGGTATGGCAGCTGATGCCTACTGGCAGCTCATACAGCTCTCCGAGGGCAGTACAGATGAACAGGCCCTCCCAGGAGCACAGGAAAATGAACAACACCTTCGCAGATCTTCATTAGCAAGCAGCCCATCCCAACTGCACAGCAAAAGGGTCAGTGTCCTGGACCCAATATCCACACTGCTCCTATTCAGGATGACAGTACTGCCCCTTGTGTAGCACAGCAGTGGGTTTTGCCTCCTGCTAGTTATACTCTGGTTGCAATAACTGAGATCCTATTAGAAGCCAGAGAGCCCAACCTTCATTTAGTTTCATAGGAGAGGAATCCAGTTAAAACCCTGTAAGCTCTGCTCACTTTAAATAATGGGAATTGGGAATGATCGGGAGGCTCTCCTCTAAACTATGCTTCTGAGTCAAACGAAAACACTAATGAATAACACCACATGTAGGACTGGTAAGGACTGATATGGATGATAACACTTTCAAGCACCTGGTACATTGAGGCAGAACAAATGAGATCATCATGAATCTATTTTTCAATGTGTTCTTTACAAGGCTATCTGGCTGCTAATGGCCTTCCAAAGCCCTAGTAGCCTCTATTGCACCAGTGCAATTACTTGTGGACTTTGGCTGTTTCTCATATAACTCTGCCTTAATCACCTCTGGGTTTCAGGTATTCCTCATGGTACTGTCTGTAACTTTTGACAGATCCTCATAGCTTTTTACATTCCACAATTCCCTACAACATATCCAGAAGTTTTTCTAGACTCTGTTCAGCTTGCACAGCCTTGGCCAGTGTCCACCCAGCAGCCAAGTTGCTCCCTCACAGCCTAAGCACAGAAATGATAACTGCTTAAGCTTACTTATGTAGACACAAAATGAATCACAGTGGATGGCGATGTGCATTGAAAACCTGATGGAGTCACTGAATCAAAATGCAGTTAAGTCTCAGGCACTAGATCTTAGGGTAGAAAAACAACAAACCTCGGACCTGATCAGTTCTGCTTTATAAAAGGAAAGAGTAGATTCCTTGGTTTCTGGGTTAGTGATAGCAATTGCTCTTGGTTCTGACTCTCAGGTTCACAGTATGGTTCTTAGTTCACTGCGATAATGTTTTACTTCAGGTGAGCAGAGCAGAGAAACCATGTATCACCCTCCAGAAACAACCTCCCCTTATCCTGATTCTCTTCCACTTCATTCTGCATGTCCATTCCCTTCATTTCTCATGAATGACAGAACCCAACTCCCCTCATGCATTGTACTTCAGGCTTCCTTCATTCTCTCTTCTTCCTCTCATTCTTAGACTGTCTGCCACACAGTGCTGAAGTCCATCCACCCTCAACATGATGCATGGCTCTATAACCCACTCCCTCCTAAGGATAACAAGTGTTTTGAAGCATCTACTGT